AAAATTTTTTTTTTTTTTTTTTTTTTTTTTTTTTTTTGAGTGGTTTGGGTGGGGCGGATACCGGGGAACCCTAGCCTACGACTAGGGTTTCCTTAGCTTTGATACCAAATGATACCGGATTTAAGTCAAACTATGACTCAAAAGACATTTTATTGTTGAATTTAAGAATGAACAAGACAACTCCTGGACGGGAAGCAGCATAAGCATGTAAAATAGTAATACAAAGTGCTATGACTCAGTAAGTAATAAAATAAATGAGGCAAAAGACAATAACATCCTGGACAGTGTTGGACGGTGGCTAAGGGCTTGCGAGAAGGCTGGGGAAGGGGGTTGGCAACTATTAAAAGAACGCCAGAGAAAACGGCAGTGCTGGAAACTGGCAGAAGTATATGGGAGGGGGTCTGCTAATAGTGCGGAAGGCACTGAAGTGGTGAATGACCCACCAAAAGCAGATGGGATGACTGCTGAGTGAAGTTGAGGGATCCTGTGGCCTCCTGAAGGATGCAGAAGGGTACGGCTGTGACTAGGACGACACATGAGGGTGAACGACCAGCTAGAACGTGCGGCAAGCGGGACAGTGAATGCTGGGAGGAGCCTGAAGGGTTGCAGCCCGTTGGAGGAGGTTGGGAGTTGTGGCAGTAGGAGGGGGTGGTGCTGGACTGTGGATGGCAGCGAGATATATTGGGGGTACTCACCACCTCGAACAAGGTACCAGCCGAAGCATCGCTCGTCAATGGATACAGCCGTCGAGAGGGAGATGCCGTAGAGGCAATTCTGGAATCAGAAATCATCACCAAAGAACACTAATTAGGCTTAAGAAAAAAAACGTGCATAAATTGGGGAAGAAGAAAGACAGCATAGGAAAGATCCTAGGAAAGGAAGGAGGTGAAAAATGGAAGGGAGAATCGAGCAACGACTAGGAGCGGCATGCAACAGCTAGGAGCGGTGAAGGAATAGGACACGGGAGAATCGAGCAAAGAAGGAAGTCTCGTTTAAGTGAATTGGACCTGTCCGTTCCAACAGGAAGGCTGGATCTGTCTCCCTTTTTCCTGTCCGGAGGGCTTAACAGCCCTGCATCAACGCCTCACAATCTTAATGAGACTGCTTAGAATATTGTCTCTCAAGCTTAAATACAGTCACCAGGACAAACCAGCGATAGTCTTAGCTGGGCATGGCCATCTTGTCTTGCTTTTCTTCTTTCCTGTGGCAAACTTAAGTACTGCTAGCTTGGAAATGCCATTGTTAAGAGCAAATAAATGTTTTAGGGAAATTGACATACGTAGCACATAATTCTTATATTTTTACATATTTCACACCCAAACTTTATAGTTGCAGACATAACACTCAAATTCTTAATATCACATCAAAAATAACACTAGTACCACTTCTTAAAAGTGAAATACATCTTTTCATGGATAAGTTTAAAGCACCAAGTGCTATATATGTAAATATGGAAGTATAGCTTTGTGATATGTAAATACATAAGAATTGTGTGCTACGTCTATGTTTTATGAGTAAAAACACATTCGGTCAAGATTCTTGAGATAGAAAAAACGTATGCATTGTTTCAAACGTTGGCTTTTTGGCTCTCTTTTTTCTGTAATAGGAAGTTGGCAAACATTAGAAAATGCCTAATCATGTTATTTTTTGCAGATTTATAAGCACAATAATTTCAAAACCAGTTAGATAAAGTAGGTACTTGCTATAGTTCCTTGCTCCTCTATTTTTCTTTCTCCTTAACTCACTAAACAATGGTTGATTCAACTTTCTGAATGGGAGTCGGGTTTTGCAGCTGGGGTTGGGAAAAACTGAGTTTAAGTTCGATGAAACTGGTGCATTTATATTTCGATACCTTTGTGGTTACAGACAATGTAAGATGCAAAAAACTGAGCTATTTATCTCTTACAAACATCCTATTTCTTTGTGATTACAGACCATGCAAGTTGTCAGAGTGATGTTGCACAATTTATTCTCTTAAAAACTTTTTAATGCATTTCTACTTTCAAGTTTTTGTTAATTTCCCTTTGTAAGAAGAAAGAATAGATCCAAGATGTCGTTTTATTCCATTCAATTGCAGTTTTGCCTATAATTTTGGGAAGTTGTTATTGCATTTTTATCTTTTTGAGGTAAACTTAATCATTTCTTCAATAGCTATGTTTCTGAAACCACAAAGCAGTATGCCTTTCCCTCCATGGCACAGCGCCATATCTTGGCAGGATTAGCTTCAGCAGTTGGAGGTTTAAGTGCGCCTTATGAGAGAGCATCACATATACATGAAAGACCCATTGTTAACTGGCTTTGGGCTTGTGGTTGTCATCCATATGGGCCTTTCTCCAATACATCTAAAATTAGTCAAATGCTACAGGATGCTGCCTTGGTATGTATGGCTGTTACTTTATATTGCACTTTTACTTAAAAATGGTAACAAGAAAAGTGTCAAAATAGTTCATTAATTCTTTTGCAGGGGGGTCATTTTATCCCAGAGTCTATTAAAGTGTTAAGTTAGTCTCTGCACTCTTTTAAATGTGCTGAAATAGTCCTCACAGAGAACTTTTTCAGCCCTAAGTTAAAGAGTTTGAGGACAAATTTAGCTTTTTTTTAATTCTAGGACTAAAATGACCCATATCAACAGTTAGGGGACTATTTTGACATTTTACTCAAATATTAACCAAAAAGCTTTTGCATGCCACCTGCAGTTTTTGTGACATTTTTATTGCTCAACTTTTGTGTTACATATTGTTCTAGTTGAACTTATGAAGTTTAAACAAATGCATGACCTCTTTCTTCCATCTTCTGTTATTGCAGAGAAGCTCAATATATGCAAATGTTGATGCTGCTCTTCACAAAATACGAGATACTTCAGAAGTAAAATAACATCTCCAAATTCAATCACTTGTTATTTTTATTTCTTATTTCTTAGGTTATTTAGAATCATTCCCCAAAACTTAAATGTATATCTTTATCTTCATTTTAAGTAAATATAACATCCTAGTGTCTAGATCATAGTCAAAACATATGCTACAAACGTGTATATCATTTTTGATAAATTAATCTTGGGGCATTTCTGTGCATATCACCCAATCCCTATATATTTACAAATCTAGCTCCAAATTACGACTTTTAACTTTTAAAAAGTTAAATGCACCTTTTCATAGATTACGGTGTTATATTAGTAAATATAAAGGCTTAGCTAATAAACATTTAAATACATGAGAATTTTAAGGCATGCATGCAAATCTAAAATTAACGATATTTTTGTAGGCCGTTCAGTCTTTTGCTTCCGAGCACCTCAAGACTCCACTTGGCGAGCCTGTGAAAGGAAAGAAAAATAAGACTGCAACTGATCTGTGGCTGGAAAAGTTTTACAAGAAGGTTACAAATTTGCCTGAACCGTTCCCACATGAGCTTGTGGAGCGCCTGGAACAATATTTGGATGTAAGCGAACTAATTTCAACTCAGCCAATATCCGAATCCCTACATTTTATTTATATTGTATAAAATATTACTTCATTAAACAGAAAATTGAGGAACAATTAGTTGATTTATCCGCACTTCTATATGACCACCGCTTAGAAGATGCATACCAGAACAGTTCGGACATATTTCAGAGTACCATATATACTGACCGGTAAGTTTTCTTATACATTACTTCTTGAATATAAATGTTAGGGAATGAATCTAATGAGTAATTCAATGAGTTATTGTGACTTTTGATGTGTTTTAGGCTATTAATGTTCATCCAGTTGTTATTAGGCCATTCTGTCTTTTTTATTCCATAAATGCTATTCTATATATGGAATTTGATTTGTTTTTTATTTTAATTTTAAAGATATATTTGTTAAGTGTTATTTTGCATGTTTTATTTTTATTTTTTAAAATTAACTTCTTTTAAAAAAACACTCAAAGCAATTATATGTTATAATATATCAAATGTTCTTACCTGCCATGATCTATTTATTTAATTATTTTTTTTGGGGAAAAAAACAGTTATGTACAGCGTGTTTTAGTTGCTGAAAAGGATAAAATGAGGTGCTGTAAGATCGAGTACAAATTGCCTGCACATTCTTCACAAGTTTTCATCTATGGGGGAATACTTCTAACAGGATTTATCGTGTACTTCTTTGTTATTTTCTTTTCATCGCCTCTTCGCTGATAAATAATAATGTTTTAATTAATTAAAATATGTCAATTTTGTAGCTCGCATATCATGAGATCTTAGCAGCTGTGACACTCTCTTCATTGTAACTCTATTTAGAGGAATATGACTTTGATGTTATTATGCTGCCAATTATTTTTTTTGGGTTTCTGCGTATGATCATATGAAAATTGAAAAAAACTTGCGTACGCTGCGTCCTGACAACGGCTGCGATTCGCTGATCGCGGTTTTTTTATTGCTCAGCCGCGATCATTGTTCGGATGCAGCTTTGCGTCCGGACAACGTACGCAAGTTTTTTTTTCATGAAAATGAGAGAATTCTCACTCACATTTTATTGGCAGGATCGTCACACTTATCTAACATATCTAACATCTCAACTTCAATTTTTACATATATATATATATATATATATATATAATCTTATGCATGAAAGATATATTTCATTTTTTAAAAGTTTTAAAATAGTGGTATTTTGTATGTGTGAAATATTTGGTTGGTATTAATGTAAAAATAGAGTTTAGCTTTTATATATGTAAATACATAGGAATTGGTTGTTATGTATATAAATGCCCCTATTTATTAAGTTGGGCTTTAAAATCATTAGATTTAGTTTTTAGATGAGTACAAGACAAATTTTAATTGATTGGTTATGTAATGTAGTCTCATCTCATTGGTAATTTTATGGCTATAAAGCTTATATTGATTTGAGTCAGTATGACTTCATCCCATGTGTTGATGTTGCACAACTATTTTAGTGTATTTTTCTTGACATTTGGATTTTAGGGTTTAGGGTTTAGAATTTTATGTCAACTATAGTGTAAAAATGGCCTCTAACTATTTAAATGGGCCTGTTTTAGTCCCATTGTTTATATTCGTCGAAATGGTCCTCAGATTCTTTAAATTGATGTTGAAATGGTTCACATTAAGAATTATTAGAGCTCAATTTTAAAATAGTTGATGATTATGTTGACATTTTTATAAACTCTGGGATTAAAATGTTATATAAATTTTATTTGCTTAATCATATATATTTCAGTTTTATAAATCTTAAATTTAACTTTTAGAAACAAGCTATATAATTTTGTTTTTTTATTTTTTTTGCTTAATCGCATATTTAACTCATTAAAATAAATTTAATGGTTATGATACTCATTTAATGAAAATTGACCAAGTATCTTAATTTAAATGTTTTTCATGCAAGGAGAATTTTGTAATTGTATGGCAGATATTTTTCTAACTTTTTATTAGATAATCCCATTGATAGGCATTATATAAATAATTAAGCAATATGCCACCATAGCAAGAGCCGCGGTTCAATCATGCCACACAATCTTTATGTTTTCTTCTAAATATTCATATTTATTACATACAGACCCCTCTATTTTTTAATATTACATCAAAAAATAGCATCGTAGCTATATTTTAAAAGGTCAGGCATATATTTTCATATGTAGTTTAATGGCACTAAAATGTTAGAAGTGTAAATATTAAACTATATGTGTTGGATATGCAAATACATAAGGGTTGTATGATATATTTGTAAATTTTACGTGAATTTTATTAGAACTTAAAAGTGGCTCATGCCTATTTTCAAGGTTTTATAACGTCTCACTATTAGCAAGCTCAAAAACATTAATTATACTTTGTGAGTGCGTGCTTCATGAACAGTATAATTAATTTTCTTAATAAAGAAAATACTTATAAAAGAGAATATTTTTATAATAAAAATACATTGTAATAATTATTATTATAGTTTTTTTTTTTTGTCATGAATATGTAGCACTTGTGATATTATAAATGTGATAATATTTCTTCAACCTCAAGGTGATGTATGTGAACTGATGTGTGCTAGAAGATTCATGACGGTAGAGTAATGTTTATTTATTGTCTTAGCACTGCACGAAAAATCAACATACACTCAGGTAATTAAAGAGAAGTATGCAGGAGGATGCAACTCAACTTTTTACGTGGAAACTTCTTAAAAAGGGAAAAAAAAACGGGTCTAGCCTAGATGAAAGAATCCATTATGAATTGTGAGTTCATAAGTTCACTCTTCTGTTGAATTAAGGAAGATAAAATTAAAAAGTTGAATATCCATAATTTATGACCATGATAGTAGTTGGTCAGGTGGGTTGTAGATGATTCTTGAGAAGCATTGGAGCCATAGAGGTCGTAGTAGGGAGTTGCAGAACTGTTGACCATGTAGGTTATATAGGTCATAGTGGAGAGCCACGATGAGATCTGTGGGCCATAGAGGCCATAATCATGAGCTGCAAAAGCTGTGGACCACGTAGGTAGTAGTTTGTCACCTAGGCCGTAATGGTTAATTGTAATGACGTCCGTAGGTCGTGAGGGTTGGAGTCAAGAGCTGCATGAGCTGTGAATCACGTAGATCATAGTTAGTTGCGTAGGTCATAATTGTGAGGTGTGATGACGTTTGTAGGCTGTGGGACCTGAGTTGAGAACTACACGAGAGTAAGTGAGGTGCATCATTACTGATATTCGATATTCGATGTTGCTCTGTCTTTGAGATGTATTGTTACACTATCTTAGGGGTACTTTGTTGCACAGTCTTTGGGGTAAACCCAATGTTCAGAATGATATACTGCTTCGCAGGTTGCTTCGTGACTTCGCGACGTCAGTTGTTGCTTTGCAAGATGCTTTATCGCAAGGAGTGGGCGACATCCAATGGTGATCAACGACAGTCAGTGAGTTGTGGTCGATGTTATTTTTTGGTGGTCGAAAGCTGTAAAAGTGATAATAGACGTTTGTAGATCTATTTCTATATTGAGAAGACAAGAGGAGAGTAAAAGGGTTGCACAAAATGTAACTAATGTGTATACAAAACCCGAAATAAAATTTAGTCGCATTTACATTCACGACACATTTATTATGGATTTACATGTCTAGCATTCAAAATTTGATATAAGCATGAAAATGCATTTTACTTTAAGAAACTAAACCCTAATGATGTTTTTGACATGATATTAAAGATTTGAGTCTTTTATAAATAAATATCAAAGTTTAGATGTTAAATATGAAAATACATAAGAATTGCATAGTGTGTATGCGCATTTTCCTAATTCTAAAAAAAAGGATTAATTGATTTTTGGTCGGGATAAATCTAATAATTACCAAATTTATCTTTAAAATAAGAATTATATAAAATTTAAATTTTTTATTTCTTAAAAATAATTTCTCTTAAATTAGTCTGACTAAAATTTAAATTTTTTTATAAATTTTTAATATAAATATAATAATATTTTACTGCGAGATAGTATCTGAAGCTTTATTTTTTTATAATAAGGGCTCATCGTTTTTAAAAAATAAAAAGTTAAAAAGATAGTTTTTGATAAATACCACTTAATTTCAGTGTATTTACACAAGTAGCATCTAAACTTCAAATATTACGTAACTAACACTGTAGCTACGTCCTCGCCGGGTTCCGACGCACGGTTGCGCTCTCGGAGTTCGACCTAGAGAGAGAGAGAGAGAGAGAGAGAGAGAGAGAGAGAGAGAGGAAGGGGGATGTCTTCTTCAACGGGGTTGCACTCCTACGGCGAGCCTGCTTATTGGGATCAGCGTTACCGGGAAGACCCAAGTCCGTTCGACTGGTACCAGAAGTACAAAGCCCTAGCTCCTCTCTTCCACCTCTACATCCGTCCTTCTCACCACATCCTCCTCGTCGGCTGCGGCAACTCTAGTAAGTCGCTTCTACCTTCGTCAAATTATAGGTCTTCTAACACCATGCGCTGCAGCCGGATCTCTGCACTATGGCTATATGTTTTCGATCAAGAAGGTGTTGATTATGATTCGTGAGGTCCTTTTTGTCTCATAATTGGTTTTCTTAGTCTGAGTGGGGATTGCTGAAAGCTGTTGCTCTTTTATATTACAGAAGACATTATGATTGCGCATTGATCCGGCTGTTTGAGCTGCCAAAATAGATACATTTAGTGATGCATTGATCATGAATAGCGTTACCTTGCAGATTTTGAAGAGGTGAAGCCTCGAACAAGGCTTAGTGGCCATCAGGCCGAAGGTTTCTGTTAACCACATAGAATTTTGGCATCCAATTATGTGATGCGTTTGATTTTACAACTCATTATTGCATACCAGAATTCCTCAATCATTGAGGTTATTACAATTTTAGAACCCTAATTAAAGCCATCTAATTGTATTAAAAAAATATTAAGAGAAAAATCTTTGAACCGGATGAATTATGAGTCATAAACAGTGCCATTTTCCCATCATACATTTTGCCGATTCTATCCAGAATGGGAGTTTAAATAATATCATCATGGCATGTCAACTAAAACTAGCATGGGCATTTCGTAAACGCCAACTCAAATTCAGGATGAAGGCATTAAACTTCATATTAATAGATGGATTCAGCAGGGAGTGGATATTATAACCAAACATTTCATTTAAAGATATTTTATTGAGCTGAGGACCACTAAAGAGAGATATAATGGATCAATCTGCCTATCAAGTAAGATATCCAGCGATGCATACAAGTAGAAATGGGTTTCAACACTTTTCAGAGAGCAAATGCTTTCCCAAACTTTGTATTCAAAAGAGAGCCATATGAGGTCCTACATTAGACAGAAAACATATTAGAAGAATTGAATATCTCCACACAATTTTCATTCTGCAAGTACGTTGAGGTTGGAGATAGAGGAAAGACCCGTTCCCCGTTAGGCTCTTGCTCATTTAGTTTATGCTAGGATATAAAGTGAAATTTTTTTCACATTACCCGCATCAAAGAAAGCCTAATAATTGTAGTAGTAACCTTTTTAAAGACAATTTTAGGAAGCGACATTGATCTTAACCAAGATGATAAGTAGCTTGAGATAGAAAATTTTATTAGTTGAAATTGATAGGCTATACAATATTTATGCTTCTACCTAGCCATCTAATTGTTAGGCCTATCAAACATACTGTAGTCTATCAGCAGAATTCAACCAATATTTAAGGACTATAGGATAAAGTATAGGAGAAAAAACAAATTTTGTTCATAGAAATAATTATTTTTTCCAACAATATTAGAAAATCACTTTTTAAACTTCAATTGGTTGACATACATGCCAATATAATTGGCAAAATTTTGGAGGTTGCACTTCAGTGAGTTAATAGTCTCAAATACAGAATGCTAAAATAAGTTGGTCATTTAATTGAAACAAATTTTTGGTGGCTAAAGATATGAAGAAAATGGGAATGTAAAAACACTATCATACAAAATATGAGTTCATTCCTATAGTGAAGAGAAAAAGAAGGAGAGGGAACATATATGACTTAACCCATTTGTTCTATTAAAATAATTTTTAACCATTTGCAATAATAGAGGAAGGCACAACCTTGATACTAGCCCCCACCTTCTGAACAAAGAGTGAAGGTTACCTTTTATCACTAAGCCTAGATAAAAGGGATTACCTACAAACATTATCATAAGCCTTATGTTTGTTAATCCTTGTACCAAAAGGTTTGGGCAATGAGAGGGATGGATGTTTTTGATAATCTCATAAGCCATAGTAGCATTATCAATAATACTTTTGTTGTGGACAATAGTAGCTTTGGAATGATTAATGATTGGAATAAATTATTTCTCTCGAGTCTATTGGCTAAGAGTTTAATAATAATTTTGAAAATATATTGCAAAGAGAGGTAGGTTTTAAATTAGCCAACGAGTCACAACATAAGAATTATTGGGGATATGAGTGATAATTGTGTTTAACCATATTCATGTGCCTACATTTCTCACAAAAAAAAAAGGTTTGACAATGATGAACTGAGGTCCCACAATTTTTCAACAATTAGTAAATGACTCTATTGTGATCAGGAGCATTTTTAGCACTGAAAGTGCTTTTTTATATCAAAATTGGAGAAAACAACAACGAGCTACTCTAAGAGATATCTTGGAACAGTATGACTTTCATGCATATGAAGTTGAGAAGAGGAAGTATGAATATAACAATTATTGTAATTTGAAATGAAGCATGGAATGGAGAGTGGCATGCATCGTATGGATTTTCTTGATGAAATTTTTGTTCATTATATCCCTAAAGCTTATGTAGATAAAACAAAATGTATCTACTTCTTTACAAAGCCAAGCAACTTTTGCTAATTGGTTGGTCCAATTATTTTCACTAATAAAAGCTTTAATTAAATTATCTTGATTATCCTTGGCTTATGTCAATAATTCTTGATTAATTGGATCAACTGATGCAAATTATTAGTTTTACTCCCAGAAGCAACTTTTAGAGCCTTGAAACAACCCTCAAATTTTTGTTATATATATATATATGCAAGTAAATCAAACAATAACCACTTGATTATTATAATCATAACAATCACTTCAAGAATTTTGTAGAAAGGAATCTATGATGAAGAGAAGAGAAAATTAATTTCAAGTAATAATGACCAAAATAGAGTGATCAAAGGAAAACGAAGAAAGAACTTACAGACTGGTTGAGGATAGATATCTAGCCAATCATTATTATAAAAAGCTCTTTCAATTTTGGTCCTAATTGGAGAGGCATATTAATTTTTATACAAAGTGTAAAATACACACATATTAGCTAGGTCTTGGTGCCCGTATTAAAATATAGTCATTAGAGCTAAGTTTGGTATTTGGGGGAAGGGTGGGATGTACATTGAAATTCCCAACAAAAATCTAGTTTTTATTCATGGAAGAAGAAATACAAAGAAGAGAAATCCCAATGGATTTTACTATTAGAATCATTTTCAACGCATACACCAATTGATAAAATGAGAAAAAGAGATCTCTTCATCAATGAGTTAGGGGGTGAAAAGAGAAGGGTAAAGGAGACCTAAGGGATGTCACATTTTATCCAAGTTATATTCTCAGTGTAGCATAGAAGTTCCGAATATCGATAAAACTTATTCAACTTTGTATTGAATTTTTGGTCTAACAGTGAGTGCGGACCAATTTTGGTTTCAATAAGGCTACAATAGTTGATGTGATATCATTGATCAAAGTCATATAATTTAGATACACTCTTCCCAAAAGAGCCCTTTTATGTTCTAAGATGTAATATTATGGTTGAACATTTTATTGCTTGAACAAAAGGTGGATTGACCAAGTATTTTCATATTTCATTTGGATTACATCAAGGACCGACTTTAAACCTATATTATGTTTGCTTTAGTTATGGATTCTCTATTGGACTTTTACAGGAGGATGTACCTTGGTGTATGCTTTTTGCTGATGATTTCCTTACTGTGGATAAGGGTAGACAAAATGTTCAGCAAAAACTTGAATCATTGAGTTTCTAAAATTGAATACATGGAATGTAATTTTATTAGTAGTAGATCTAATGAGATAGTTGTAACTATAGGTGATCCAATGATTAAAAGGTGTGGACGTTTTAGATATATCGGGTCTGTTGCTCAAAGTGATGGTGATATAAATGAGGCTATTATTAGTAGAATTCAAGTTGGTTGGTTGAAGTGGAGGAATTCTTCAGGCATATTATGTGATAGAAAAGTACTGCTTAAAGGAAAATTTTATAAGATGACGATCAGATCTGCAATGTTTTATGACGCAGAATGTTGACCTTCAAAAGAGAAGCATAAAATAAGCTAAAGTGTTGTTGGGATGAGCATGTTTAGGTGGATGAGTGACTTGACACTTAGAGACAAAATACGAAATGAATGTATCCGTGAAAGGGGTATCCGTGAAAGGGTTGGGGTTGGTGTAGTTTTAGTGGCAGCAAGATTAGAGAGAGTTATCTTAGATGGTTTGATCACACTAAACATCGACTATATAATGATCCAGTTAGGAGAGTAGAGGTTTTAGATTTAACTTATGTTAAGAAAAACATAGGTAAACCTAAAAGAATTGGGCATATTGTATAAAAAAATGATCTTAATTTATTAAAATTAAATGAAAATAACACACTCAATAGGACACAATGGAGAAAATAATTGAACATGGCCTACTCCACTTTGATAGCCGACCCTACTGTGTGGGATAATGACTTGTTGTTTTTGTTATTGTTATTGTATATTTGGGGGAAATCATCAATGTTTTTTTTTTTGTATTTTTTGTTTGCTTTAGTGTTGTTTAATAATTTTCTATAGTTTTTACGTGCTAGAGGATGAAGCATTGTTGGAGTCAAAATTTATAAATAGCTGGGGAAGGGAGTGAATCTGCTGTTGATTTTATTTACGAGAGGGATTGGGGGTGGAAGGGGGTTAAGAAGCATGTGGTAGTAGATCATAGTGAGATATCAAAGCTACATAGGACACAGAGTTCATGGCGAAGGTTAAATTCCAAGCAGACGGGCAAATGCAATTCTTGGATTCCCATTCCATGAGACATTGCTTAGGTTGCAAGTTATTATTATTCTCTTGCTCACATAGGAACATTTATAGAAACATTGTTAGCCTTTTGTATACTATATTTTAGTAATAATTGTGAATACATCACTTTGTAAGTAGTTGTTTTTAAAGGGGGAAGGTGTGAAGTTCACAATGAAACACACAAAATATCCAAACATTTTTTGTATCCTTGTGAATTTTTTTGGCATATCCCCTCTTCTACCTCTCAATCTAAGGCGAGTTAGGATTTACGCTGCACAATATGGTTGTACAGAAGCCTAAAGAGGGTGTGAGGATTTACGTCGCGCTGGGCGCGCTACCTCGAATTCCTATGGGTTGTTATTTAGACTAAAAAAAGAGTTT